TGTTCAAGGGGACATTTGTCATCCATGAGGGAGGTTTATGTCAACTATTGCCTGTTCTGTTCCTGGGGATCCCTGAAAAGAAGGTGTCTCATCTGCATTACTAAATGTTGCCAATCACTTGAGAGTTCTTTTGCTCAATTCATATAGAAGTCATGAAGCAGCGAAGTACAGGTCTTCTAGCAGCTTGGGGGCCACCAATTAACTCAAGTTAATTCTGGATGCCAATAGTTGACATTGTCGGCTGCTGGTTTCTACCACTTCTAGGTTCCTCTGTTTGATGCCAGCTTGTGTTGAACGTTATTGAGAGAATCCACCAAGTGCTGGTCTCTGCCAGATGCTGCTTTCTATTGCTGGTCTTTATCAGCTGTTGGGTTTGGAGCTCTTCAGGGATAAGAGCCCTGAAGTTTATTGCTTTTTCATTTACAGTTACCACTCTGTCCACAACACTTAAGATTCCTAAATAGACTTCCATGACATTCTAAGCCCACACTACACAAGAAATAATTAGTAACAGATTTATAAGACCACAAAAGCAAGGTTTTATTTTAACAGGATGTAGGTGGCAGCATGGGGTGGTCAGTATACAAACAGGAGCCTTCTAAAACTAACCCAAGAAGTGTGAAGGGAGTCCTGTTTGTATAGCAGCTGCAGGCCTGTGATTGTTCTAAGTGTCAGCCTGTGATTGGTTCAAAGTCCAGACTTCTGACTGATACAAATGTAGGCATGTGATTGGTCCAGAGCATCCTGGACAGTCCAGCTCTTGTGGCCATGTGTGAGCTATTTGACTGACATTTATTGTGCCTCCCTGAAAAGCAGCAAGGCAAAAACTAGGAAATATTCAGAAGGGCTAAGTGTTCATCACAGCTACTGAGGCTTGAGGAGATAGGGGACATTAATAATGGGCTAAGATCCCTTCTTCCCTGATGTTAGCCAGTGTGATTCCTCTTTTTTTAGCATCTGGACTGGGGGAATTTGGACAGGAGAGTTACAGCTGATAGCCAAGATGAACCTCTTGTCAGAACAGCCCATTGAACGGAAAAGAAACCTCCAGAATGTGGGGGGACTCTAAGACAAACTGTTCTAGTGCATTGCTGTGAGGAGAGGGAGTAAATGGAAGAGGGGGGAGGGGTTGCAAATGTTGCAACCTATTTCCTCCTCCAGCTGACACATGGAAAAGGAGAGAGTTCGGTACTTTTCGTCTGATTTACAGCCACTTAATTCTCAAGAGGTGGTAACAAAACAGTCAAAATACTATGATAAGTGAATAGAAAAATCATATGATAGGGCCAGGGATTTAGCTCAGCCGTTCTGCTGCCTGTCTTGCAAGCACAAGGACCTGAGTTCAATCCCCAGTACAAAAAAAAAAAAGAAAAGAAAAGAAAAGAAAAATCATATGATAGGATAACAGAGAAGTAATATGAGTCAACATAAATGAAGCTCAAAAACATGTTGATTAAAAGCCATACACATATGTTACATCTTGTAAACATCTATTTCTGTAGAATTTTCTAAAAAGCAACTCCTCATAGTGATTACCTGAAGCAGATTACCAGAAGAACGAGACTAATGGGGGGGTCATTTAAAAGGGTACAAGGAAATTCAGTATTTCACTAAATTGAGTTTTGTAGTCTTCTACACTGATTTATCTATTCTCTAGTTCTCATAACTGACAGTTTTGGATTACAAAAGCCCTGTTTGTCAAACTCATAACTAGAAGAAATTCTTCTCAAAGTTTATAGTTGGTTGACTGTAAGTATTCAGTTTGATAGCATTTTAAATTTTCATCCTTTTGTTATATTTAATACATTGATTTATGTGTAATTGTGAAAAGCCACATCAGCAACTACTGGCCACCCTTTTATATTATTGACCTTTTTTGTTAATGGAAAAAATGAACAAAGTTTCATATCACTTTATAACATACTGTTAATTAGAGGAGCACAGTGCATCTTCTAATCATTTATACTAAATCATGAAAGAGCAATACTTAAGCAGAATTTTCAAAACTGCTCAAATACAACTTATGCAATATACAGAAACATAAAACTGAATGACCTGTTATGTTCCCTTTTCCCCACATACCAACCTGACCATCTCTCTTAGAAGATGCCACTGTGAATTATTTGGAATTTTTTTCTTTAATTGTTGTTTTATTTCTCTTTTTGCATTTGTAACAATTCAGTTTACTTCTCTGGATTGTTCATTAGAAAGAGTAAGAGATTTGTGTTGTTGTTTGCTTTGTAACTATGTATATATCTATGACATTCATCTTTATTAGGCAAAGTATGTTATTAATGTATTTTAGCTATTAACAGAGGAAGAAAGAGGTGAGTCTGAGAATTAACTTGAATATCATTTTTAAGGGCTGAATGAAGAACTAATTAGCTCCCCAAAGAAATATTAGAACCATATTCCAATTTTACTCTGTATATGTGTTTTATTCTACTTAATTTATACTATATTCTTAATATTTGTATACATCTAATTAACTTATTTGATCTCAATTTTGAATTGGCAAAATTTCTCTCTCTCTCTCTCTCTCTCTCTCGTTATTTGAGTCAGCACAATGCTTTAGACATCAACACAAAAAGAGATCAAGCTGTGCGTTCGACTGATGTTCAGACCATAATCTTTCTGACCACACTTCCAACTAACTGACCAGTATTTCATTAACTTGGGTAAGTTCTAAGCCAAGACTCATTCCTACATGTAACACTTTTGTTGTCTAAGGACTGAAATTTTTTAAAATGTTGTAAAGCTACTAAGAATGCTACACAGTGAGAGCTCAATAAATTAAGCTCAAAATTGTGTTCTGTGTCTGCTGTTTAATATTTGGAGCACCTCCCAAGAAAACTTTTTATTAATGTCATACAATGTCAAGAGATTAAAGTATATTAATAAATATTAAATAAAATTAAAATTAAAATAATAGGTTTTGTCCCTTTCACAATTTCTATCTCTTTGGTATTACAGGATATGGATGCATCCATTTATTTTTCTTTCTTTATACTTTAATGTGTAATTTATTTTCATTGCAAGGCACTTGAACTTTACAATAGTTTAGAAATGTGGAGATGGTTAATAGATGAAAATATATTGGCATTATTAAAGCTAATTGCCCAGAGATTTACAAGTAAAGACACATTTAAAGACACAATCATTATTGTGATTGTTGCAATGAATACTATGAACTTTTCAGTAGATTGTTAAGCAATGCCCTAGAGAGGTATCATTTCTAAAACATTATTTTTGATATGGCATCCATTAGACATTTGGAGTGAATGCTAAATATACTATTAAGCATATATTTCCAGTTATTCATTACTTATTAAACCATCCATAATTAATGAAAACATCATTCCAACACCTGAGATCTAAATTTCAATCTAGTAAAAAAAAAAAAAGGTTAACATCTGTGGTGAAAACAAATAAAATAAAAGCTCAAAATAATTTTATTAGATTGAAAAGCAGTTTTAATGGAAAAAGAAAGACATGAGGGCTTAAATTATTGAATACAGTTATTACAGCCACATGACTTTTCTAAATAATTACAACTTTACAAAGCTTGCAGTTTTAAAAATCAAGAACCTTCCTGTAGTATAAATTATGAGTCTTGTTCCTACTTTCAATACTGTGGAATATGAACTGTAGTGAATACACAGAACACTCTTTTAAAAAATATATACTCTTCCAATTACTGAAATTTAATATGCATTTTATTTTTCTGAGAGTAGCTAATATTTAAACATCCTTCACACAGGTTTGAGTCTCATGAATAGGTCATAGGAAGCAATCTTTGGAAAATCTACTTTTACTTTGAATTTTTCTTTTGAATTAATCCATGTGACCTTAAATTTCCCCTGTTAGCTTGAATAAACTGGAGACAGACTCTTTCCTAACTCTAAGCCTCTGACCTCCCTTTACTTAAGAGAATTTACTTTGAAAATCTTGTAAGTGTAAATTCTTTCTCTACTTCTTTGAGATGTAAATCTTTTAAAAGTCTCTTGCTGGTTTTACAACCCAGAAATGTCTACTCAAGGACCTAAGAGCCATCTCTTTAACTGTTATGTTCAAATGACATAGCACCAATGTCTCATTTCCTGTGAAGTAGGAGTCTAACTTCCATAGGTAATTTGCTCAAAGTTACAAAACTACCTTGTCCTAAAGATTGTAAAGACTTTACTTTTCCTTTGAATAAATCCAGTTAGTAAACACAGATAATTTAGGAGTATAATATCTTTTGATGTGTTTTTATTAGTTTACCTAGCCCTTAAAAAGTCCCATGTAAATTAGGAATAGGAATTATCCACTCTAGTACTTAAAACAGGTCCCTGCTAAGTATTAAGACCCTAATCTATTACAAAATTCTACAATCTAAAAATTATGTAAAAATCACTATCACCAAAAATGTGGTCTTTTCTGAGAGGAAAAAGTAAATGCAACCAAAGTACGTTAAGGTCAGCATAGGAGCATAATCCGAGTATAAAACAGAGGAAATTATACCTCCATGGGAAGCAAGATCAAAGAGCAAGAGCCCAGGAGCCGAAGAAACACCAAAGATCAAGCTCACCTCATGCATACCATAAGAGAATTTGGTGAGACAAGCTGTAATTGAAAGGTCTACTAAGATAAAAAATTTCAGCATATTTTGGAATGAATCAGGGGAGTTTGAATGACAATTATCTAAAACTATTAAAATGTTTCTAAAAATATATTTCCAGTCCCTTATATGATAACACTTAAAATTGAAATCTGGAAATTAACTTCCAGAAAAGATAATTTCATAATTAAAACATATCATTATAAACTCATAAAAAAAACCTCTATTATAGAGAAAAGAAAACCTACCAGGCTGAGGAGTTAGTTCAGTGGTGCTGCTGCCTCTGTTGCAAGCACAAGGACCCAAGTTCAATTCCCAGTACCAAAAAAAAAAAAAAAAAAAAAAAAAAAAAAAAAAAAAAAAAAAGAAAGAAAGAAAAGAAAAAATGAAGAAAACCTACCATAATACAGACATGGACTGCTATCCAAAATCTTCTCATCTAGCTGCATCCAGTGGAAGGAAGGTGGAAGGTGAAGGTCCGTGACAGCCCCTGTGCAGGTATCCCATCCTTGCTCAACCTGTTTCAAGCAAACCAGTGAGGACCAGTTTGACACAGGCATCTCTGCAATATCCACACAGCATGCCCCCTCCCCAGCTCTCAGTCCTCCTGATTGTGCCGGTTCTTGGATCCTCTCTGTAAAGGCACAGGAGGAGATATTTTTTCTGAGCTCCAGAAGATAGAACAGAAGTGAACAACTGCAATAAAGGCACATCAGATCTACATAGTTAGTAAATTGGAGAGATCACCATGTTCCATCACAACTTGGAATATCTCCAGAGAAAGGGACAACTTGGAATATCTCCAGAGAAAGGGCAGAGGGGACTTGTAGAAGAACCTTACAGAGTTCAACCCTGCAGGAGGTTAAGAAGCTGAATTTGGGCCTTGCAGCCTGAATTCAGCCTGAATCTCAGGGTGGAGCCATTGGCTAGCTGAGACTAAAGGACTTAGTTCTGCACATGGCTGAGTACACTGTCTAGTGTGACAGCAGAAATATAGTCTGAAAGAGGCCCTTCAAATTTTTTCTTCTTTCTTTTCTCATTCCACTCTGCAAATTCTTTTCTTTTTTCTGTTTTCCTTCTCCAACTCAGTCTCTTGCTCTCCCATATTATTCTTCATCTCCTTTTCTGTTCCTATTCCTGCCCTAACATGGATATCCTCTTTTATTATTTCTTCTTCTTTATTTATTTTCTTTTCTTCTCTCATTTTCCTTCACTCAAGGGTCAATAGTTTCAAAGGAAAGTGAGCTCCTGTTACTGTTGTTATATTCTTCTCCTTATTCTTACACTCTGTCTTTCCCTCTTGTCTTCAACAGTTTCCTAAAGTTTGTGTGGTCATCCTGTGTCCTCTGGCTTCACTTGAAACTTTCTTCAATTCTTTTACCTATCTACTCATCTCTTCCTAAATATGTCTAAGCCCCCGTCCTAAATGGTAAAGATGCTATATTGAAGAGTTTATTCACTGCAAACATATTTTGGGCGGCTCCTTGATTTTGATTTAATTCACATGGTTGAAAGGTGATAGATTAATGACTACCACAAATGGTCAATTTGTAAGTTGTGCTTGATCCTATTGTGTTGCTGATTGTATCAATTGGGTTAATGGGTTGTGATTGATTTAATGAGTTGTCCTTTCTAATATTATGAAAATGAGAATGTCTATGAGTCATTAGACACTCAAAAGCTGATGTGCAAAATATCAGGAAGATTTAAGTAATAACCCAGGAATTAAACCAAGGAGAAGCAACAAAATAAAAATGAGGAAGCAAACTCTAGGGCAAATGAGGTTGAAAAGTCTGACAGTGAACAACCAGGACACTCTGCACAGGAAGTGACAAAACATATCAATCAGGCACTAGAAAAATTTAAAACAGAAATAATTTCCCAGATAAGTACAGAGATGGTGAGCACAGTGAAAGACATGATTAGAGACTCTAGAACAGAAACTGAAAAAAAAATTAGATGAGCTCAGGACCATGTTAGAAGCCATAAAGGCCCAGCATAAGAAAGAAATGGAAATCATGAATGACCAAAATAGGAAATAAATGGAATCCATAAAAAAGATTCAAACAGATATCCTGTTAAAAGCTCTATTGAAAGTTTTCACATCAGAATAAATGAATGTGAAGATAGAATGTCAGATATAGAAGATAAGATTGCAATCATTGACCATGAGAAGAGAGGTCTCTTAAAAACAGTAAGGGATCATGAGAAATCGATCCAACAACTCCTAGATGATGCAAAGAAGAATAACATAAGACTTATAGGAATCCATGAAGTACCAGGAGAAAATACAAATGATTTCAAAAAGCTGTTCACAGAATTAATGACAGAAAACTTCCCAAACAGAGAAGAAGAATTTGACATACAGATAAGTGAGACATATACGACTCCAACGAGCCATGATAAAAAAAAAAAAAATCTACACCTAGACATATAATAATCAAGATCCCAGAAATCCTACAGAAGAACAAATACTACAAGCACTAAGAGAAAAGAAACAAATTACATGCAAAGGAAAGCCCATCAGAATCACAGCAGACTTTTCAACACAAACCCTCAGGTCAAGGAGAGCCTGGAGTGAGGTATTTCAATTCCTAAAAGAAAATAACCTCCAACCTAGACTGATGTATCCTGCAAAAGTCTCTTTCAAAATGGATGGGGAAATAAGATACTTCCAGGAAAAGGAACACCTGAGAAACTTCGTGAATACCAAAACAGCACTACAAGGAATTTTAAACAATATCCTAGAAAAAGACAATGAAAGTCACAACACCATGAGGCCCAACAGAGCAAATCAAATGAGAGAGGCAAGAATCTAAAAGGAGAGGGGGGAAAAGTAAAAGGAGTCAACAAAAGGACAACAACCTGATATAATAAGTCAATACATATCAGTTATAACCATCAATGTCCATAGCCTCAATTCACCAATCAAGAGAAATAGACTGGCAGAATAGATTAAGAAACAAAATCCAACAATATGTTGTACACAAGAAACATACCTAGTACAAAAAGAAACCCATAGACTGAAAGTAAAAGATGGGAAATATTTCTCCATGTGACAGGAGCCCAGAAAAAGCAGGGGTAGCTATCTTATTTGAAGAAAAAGTAAATTTCTATCCAAAACTGATCAAGAGAGACAAAGAAGGCCACTACATCCTTGTAAAGGAAACAATTCAAGAGGAAGAGATGACAATCATAAATATATATGCACCAAATATTAATGCCCCCAACTATGTAAAATAAATATTAAGTAACATGAAAAAAACAAATAAGCACAAACACAATTATAGTGGGGGACCTAAACACTCAACTATCACAAATAGAAAGATTATCTAGGCAAAAAATCAACAATGAAATACTAGAACTGAATGAAGCTTTTGAACATATGGACTTAATAGACATCTATAGAGTGTTCCAACAAATCAGAATATACATTCTTTGCAGCTGCACATGGGTCAGTCTCCAAGATACATCACATACTAGCTCGTAGAACAGGTTTGAATAAATGCAAAGGAATCAAAGTTATTCCCTCTATATTATCAGATCATAGTGCAATCAAGCTAGAGATCAATAGCATAAGAAACCATAGGAACTTCACAAACACATGGAAATTGAACAACACTCTCCTGAACAATCAATGGGTCACAGAGGAAATTGAAGAAGAAATTAGATAGTTTTTACAAATAAATGATAAATCCAATACAACATACAGGAATCTATGGGACACAACAAAAGCAGTTCTATGTGGAAAATTCATAGCAGTGAATACCCACATTAGGGAAAACAGAGTGAGCTCAAATAAACAACCTAATTATGAATCTTAGACTCTTAGAAAAAGAAGAGCAAGAAGCTTGTACAAGAGAGGAAATTATAAAGATTAGATCAGAAAACAATATAATGGAAACTAAGAAAATGATACAAAAAATCAATGAATTCAAGAGTTGGTTTTTTGAAAGAATAAATAAAATCAATAAACCCTTAGTTAACCTTATCAAAAAAAGGAATGAAAAGGCTCAGATCCATGCAATCAGGAATGAAAAAGTTGAAGTCAGAAATCCAGAAGATCATCAATACCTACTTTGAGAACCTGTACTCTAATAAAATGGAAAACACAGAATGGACAGATTCCTAGATACATATGAATTACTAAAGTTGAACGAAGAAGTTAGATTTAAAAATTTAAACACCCCAATTACAATCAGTGAAATTGAAATTGTAATTAAAAGTTTGCCAGCAAAGAAAAGCCCAAGTCCTGATGGATTCACCACTGAATTTTATAAGACATTTAGAGAAGAGCTACTACCACTACTCTTTAAACTTTTCAGTGAAATTGAAAGGGAAGCAATACTTCCAAATTCATTTATGGAAGCAAGTGTTACTTTGATTCCCAAACCAGGGAAAGACCCAACTAAAAAAAAAGAACTACAGGCCAATCTCCTTAATGAATATAGATGCAAAAATCCTTAATAAGACACTGGCAAACAGAATATAGAGAGTCATGAAGAAGATCACACAACCTGACCAAGTCAGATTTATTCCAGGGATGCAAGGATGGTTCAATGTACATAAGTCAATAACTGTAATACACTATATTAACAGAGTCAAGGACAAAAGCCATATGATCCCCTCAATAGATGCAGAAAAAGCATTTGAAAAAATTCAACACCCATTCATGATAAAAACCCTGCAAAAAATTGGAACAGATAGTCTATATTTCAACTTAATAAAGGCTATCTATGAAAAACCAACAGCAAACATCATATTAAACGTCCAAAAACTGAAAATCTTTACATTAAAATCAAGAACAAGACAAGGATGTCCACTGCCACCACTCCTCTTCAATATAGTACTGGAAATATTAGCCACCACAATTAGACAAGAGAAAGAAATTAAAGGAATAAAGGTAGGAAAGGAAGAAATTAAAGTGTCATTATTTGGTGATGATATGACACTCTACATTGAAGACACAAAAAACTCCACCAAAGACTTCTAGACTTAATTGACACTTTCAGCAGAGTAGCTGGATACAAGGTCAACACTCAAAAATACACAAATAACAGACCCACTGAGAGAGAAATTAGGGAAACAATTCCTTTCACAATATCATCCAAAAAAACAAAAATGAAGTATCAAGGAATCAATCTAAAGAAAGAAGCAAAAGACCTCTACACTGAAAACTACAGCACTCCAAAAAACAGATTGAAGAGGATATAAGAAAATGGAAAGATATCCCCTGCTCCTGGGTAGGAAGAATCAACAGAGTGAAAATGGCCATAGTACCAAAACTGCTATAGAGAGTCAATGCAATGCCAATTAAAATTTCAACACTTTGTTTCACAGAACTAGAAAAAATAATCCAAAAATTCATTTGGAACCAGAAGAGACCTAGAATAGCAAAAGCCATCCTAGGCAACAGAGACATGGCAGCAGGTATAACAATTCCCAATTTGAAGCTATACTACAAAGCCACTGTGATAAATAGATCACGGTACTGGCGAAGAAACAGACCTGAGGATCC